CATACTGATAATCATTACGTGATAATCAACGATCACGTGGATTTCACCATCAGCCGATTTCACCATCAGCCGTGACATTTATTATTATTATCGATATGCAAAGTGAATATTTGATCATGTGAGCTAGAGGTTGATGTGGCTGAAAAAATGAATTAATTTAGTATTAACTGATAAAATTTTGGTGAGTCTTGTTCGCAAATCCCAGACTATTTTTTAGTGAACATTTTAAACCTACCTCCACGTCTACGTTATAAACAACTAGCATTTGTGTATAAATATAAAAGCAAGATGACTTTGGTAATTTCAGAAACGCTTGCTTTTCTGGTTTTCAATAAATTAAATTTAGTATACGAACCATTAGCAACCAGCTGAGCTTTGACAATACCAGATCGAGTAGCTTCGAATACAAATTCTGATATTTTGTAAACCACTCAATTTCTTAGAAAATTCTCAACACGGAATTAAGATCTAAGTATTGAAACCTTTTCCGTTGTCATAGCATTGAACCTTGTTTAATCCAGCTGTACTTGATCTTTTCACAACCTCAACAATATGATTCACGCAATCCACTCTTGTTTTGTGGTATAGTTTTTTAATTGACCCAAAACTACCATCACACTTGAGTTTAGTATGTCCAGGTACCATAAAATTCAATTTGATACGTTCATAATAGCTGCAAATTATTAATATTAATATAGGTAAATAAAATGGTGACATTATTTTTATTCTGACCACCGGCGTTATCACAAACATTTTTCGCCTTTATTCAATCTCTTAATTCCATTAAAAATTAGACTAAGTTTAGATCTTTGCCTGATCATGTGATCACACATCATATTGGAGGATCGCATCTTTCACAGCACGCATCTTTCACAACGTGCATATTTTCAAGGAAAGTATATGGTTATTATTTAGTGTTAGCCACGCGTAACCCTACTGGCGTATGGCCATTACGTCTTGCGTTAGATGCTTGGCGCTAGTTTGTGGGATCATCCTTTAGCATGCGTGTTGAAGGCCTTGATTCCCACACGCTATCGTCCAGGTTGCGTTACGTATACCTACTGGTATATGGCCATTACGTCCTATGTCAGATGCTTGGAAGCAGTCTGGAGGATCGTCCTTTAGCATGCGTGTTGAAGGCCTTGATTCCTGCATGCTGTTTTCCAGTATACAGTTGGCTATCATTGTACAAGTCGTATCGGAGATAAGGGTTTTCATATTTACCTTATTTACTGTGAAGTCTGACAACAATTTCCTTTAGTCGTGGAAGACGTCTAGCACACTTGTTGTTCTCGCCGATTATCAACCAAGACCAAGCAGTTGTAAATACGATCTCAGGTAGGGAATGTTTTCATCCACTCCATAGAAACTCGTTTCCATTTTTAGTTTTTGGCAACATTTCACGGCAAATACCTTTTTTTTTTATAATTGTACAGTAGCAAGTCTTCCTGGTCTTTGAAAGCTTCACCTGGATTCTTTTCAGTTAATTATCATCGAATGAAGCAACGATTGGGCAAGCCTTCCCCAAAAGAAAAGCATCGATTGCTGTGCCTTTGACCACACCGGCAGCGACTGCTTCGATATCGCTGATGGCAACTTCTTTAACATCGATCGGTGCTTTGCTTCTGACAGCAGCTAAGACTGTAAAAACGGCTGCGATGTCTTCGCATGTGAACCGCTGATTCTCACATCACTACAGATCCGGTGTATGTTGACTTCAATATTATTTCAGTATTAACAGAGCTGCACACATCGGACAGCATCAACCAAAAGAACTTGTATGCGCATTCGATCTGGTACAGTTGGAAGTAGCTTCTCAAGTATAATTAGGAGACGAATCTATGCTTAAACGAAACATGCCTGGCCGTAAATTCCAGGTATAATCACTGAAAAGTTCCTACGCTCAATCAGCAAAACACAAACTTTTATCATCATTGAATTTGATGTAGTATATGTGAGGATTTAATAAAAAAAAAAGGAAAAATAAAATTAGCAATAATTCAGAACATAGTGGTACTCGTTCCAAAATATGTTCCAGAAAGGGAGCGCTTTGCTGGTGAGTTTCTGATATCCATTTTATAGGGATGCTTATTGTCATCGCTTTTAGATTCTAAATTTGCCAAATTCCGAAAAACAAACATAGCGATAATATCGATATTGCATGTACATACTGTGTATTAGATTTCATCACAAAGCTAAAAAAGATTCTGGCGTATTTCTTAGATATGTATCCCATGCAATTCGTGTACCATTTGCATCTGAGATGTATGAACTTTTGCTTCGAGACACTCGCATGCATGCGTTATTATTATCACCCGAAAAAGATCATGCAGCAAAACTGATGGTAAGAATGGCAGCAATAACGTTCACCATGACCCAACTGAGGAAGACAGTAGTGAATGACAACATTTGGCAAATTTTAATCACTCCGTTTTAGGAAGTATGCTGTGTTTAATTGTACACTTCCCTTTCAATATGTTTTTTAACACGTATTCGTCGTATGCGCCCTTCTTCACAAATTGCATATTGTTTAAGAAAGACTGAACTGCGTCTGTCTCTATACAATCTTGAGGCTTTGATAGCCAAATCGTTCCGGATACTTTCGATGTGTGTGACTGTGGACCGTAGAAGGAAATTATAAGGAAATTTTGGTTCCCATAATAAGTAAAAAAATTAGACAAATATATATATATACCTCAATTCGCAATAATGTTGTCACAAGCTTCTCAATCATGAGTAACTGTCCGTTTGACTGTGGCAGCCTTGTTTTTTTCAGTAGGCCTAATCGCCATAAACCCTTGGCCCTCCAATCCATTGCATAGACGTTGTAATAAAAGCCTAACATGCAGAGAATAAGAATGGATAATAATGTAAAACTCGAAAGTCCAGATTTGACCGTTACAAAATACTTTTCAAACAATCAATGCTTACCATATGAATGGACTCCTAATGTATAGATTCTCTTGAAATCTTGACAATCGACACCATTGCATTCAATTGCTTCTTTCAAAATAACATCACGCATAGCGACCATCAGGTCGACCTTATCATCCCATTTCTTTGCTTTGCATGCCTCGGGCAAACCTCCTGATCTAAGTCCAACAATAGCCTCAAACCCATCAGCTGTAACTCTAAAGTCACACTTTTGACCGATAAGAGACCTGTCAGTTGGTTTCTTGCTTAAATTCGCTATCAGTGCCGATGCAAGGCTTTGGATTTCTCCTCTACAAATACGAAATATAAAGAATGTTTAGAAAAAAAAAATAAATAACCAACATTGGAAGTAATCACAGACTTATTGAAATACAGATCAGAGAAACCTGCAGTACGCACTCGTCATATTCCAACTTTTGCTGATAAGTCAGGATACCCTTCGTCATCATGTTTATGAAATTGCTGCAGAAGGCGGCCTCCGAGGTTGTGCTGCCTAGTCTCTCCAGGTTATACACACTTCGCGAATTGAATGAATCATATTTAACACCACATTTAAAAGAAAAAAAGAGCATTATCGTTCAATTAGTATTAGCTCACTATGTTTGGATAAGTCGTCGTATAACGTTAATCTTCGGAAAACCCTCGATTATGCATTTTTCGATTTCGGTAACCAAGTCATTTGGCTTTTTTCCCAAGACCTATGCAAAATCGGGTGCAAATAAACATCAAATTGTGTAATGTAAACAAAAAATTTCTGATTGTTTACCTTTTCGATGTTGTCAAGCAGATTGTACAGAAGTTTTTCCTCCTGCTCGTTAACGTCATGGAATGTTACTGTTTTACTGAAATCAGATGTCATCTCACACCATTCCTCATCTGTAAAGAATTCCTTGACTTCAGTGTCCTCACCGGACAGATCTAATATACCAAAAAAAGTGGGGCTATCAAAGAAATAGTGCGCAATATGAATACATTAAAGAATGAGATAGTATAGTCGTTATGGAATCACAAGACACTAACTAGAAAAAAGCCTTCGTTTTGGGGATTTTTGCTCTGAACTCCTTCAGAATTCGAGAAATGTTCTTGCCAGTTGAAAGTATCCATTCACCAAATTGGTCATCATCAACAACATCCGTCGATTCAACGTTGAATTGTTCCGCGACTTCATTCTAACCAAACCACAAAAAAACCATCCTGAATAAGCTGGATCAATACGTTTGACCACTTAAGTTCCTAATACTATAATACAGAATAATAATGAGATATAAAATAATAATAGTATTTAATTTTATCACACCTCAAGTTCATGTTCTTTTCTTATCTCTCGTTTTAGAGAGTCATAATCGAACATCAAATATACGTCCGGTTCTTCCTCCGTGTTCCGATTGATCTCGTTCAACTCGTTGTTCGGCTCTTGATTGCTAATCTGA